ACACTCACATCAATTGTTACAGTCACTGTGTCGATATGTCTTAGTGAGAATCTTCTTCTCTTTCTTTGACCTTTCACCTTTCCCAGTATGATGTATTTTTCTAAGGATAAGTTTCCTCCTGAGTCAAAGTTTCATCATCCTTCAAAAAAACTATGATGTATCATCTCATCCCAACAACAATAGCAAAGTTCAACAGGACAAAAAAGTAAACAAGTGCTGGTAAGGTTGTGGAGAGATTGGAACTCTTATTCACTGTTGGTGGCAGTGTAAAATGATACAGCCACTATGGAAGGCCATCTGGTGCTTTCTCAAAGAGTTGGAAATAGACATGCCATTTGACTCAACAATTCCAATACTGGAAATAAAACCTAAAGAAACCAGAGCCATGACTCAGGCAGATGTACACACACTCATGTTTATTGCTGCTTTATTCACAATAGCAAAGGGATGGAAGCAACCCAAATATCCAACAACAAATGAATGGATAGGAAAAACTATGGTACTTTCACACACACAAAAATATTGTGTAGCATTGAAAGACAAAGAAGTTATAAAGTTAAGTCATTACATAACATGAGGGAACCTAGAGGACATTATGCTGAGTGAAATATCTAGTCACAAAAGGACAAATTCTGTATAATACTGCTGTTATATAATAGGACAGGTTGGGGCGGCGTGGATAGAGAATGGGAAAAGAGTGGATAGATAATGGAATTCTACAATGGAACAGATGAGGGGAAGAACTGTCCAAAAGGAATATATGATCGGATATTATATGTATGACAACAATCTGGAACAAGGGACACATTGCTGGGTGGGCTGGGGAAGGCGGGAGTGGATGGGAGAAGAAAATGGGCAACAAAAAAAGGAAATAAAGTTATAAATAAAAAAGAAAGTTAACTGGGAGAGGGCAGGGAGGAAAATGTGCAACAATGAATGAATGAAAATCCAAATTTTTTTGTAAACTTTTGTTAAAATCACAATAAAATAAAGTTTTAAATTATTATAATAAATTTCCAATCATTTGGGGGGGAAAGTTTCACCATCTTTGCCTTTAAAGAGCACCAAGCTAGATTTGCGTGTTGTTTTGGCAGACCATGGGATATTCAGGGCTCTGTAGAGTAGTTTTTAGTCTGCACATAACTAGGTCCTGGAGTTATACTTGACTTGATGATGACTAACAATAACAACAACAACATATACTAGAGGTGGAATTTCTGGGCTTCATGTCCAGTTTTCATAGACACTGTTAAAGTCTTTTTCAAAGTCCTATTTCTACAAAATTTTTACAAAAAATGGGCCCTTCCCCAGGAGTGAGCCCAGATATAAAGAGGAGCTAAACATTTTATGGTGAGTCAGTGGGAAGTGAGGGTCAGTGGAAAACAGAAACACGTAGCCAGAGTTGGGGAAGGGTAAGAAGCAACTTATTGAATAATTACTATCTGATGATTGCCCTAGTAATTACCCCTATTAAGTAATTACTCTAATAAGAGTTTCTCCAATACACCCATGAAGGATTTGCTAATTAAGATGCAAAACATCACACTGTTATATGTGAGGCTGTCAACCCATCCTTACTTCCTACTGTTGATTTTATAAAACTATGTGCAAATAATTCCATCAGGTATTTTTCATTAAGGCAATCAGTAAGTATTTACTGAGCACCTACTCTTCGATAAGCTTACAGAGGTGGACAAGACAGACAACATTCCTGTTCTCCTGTAGCTTTCATTCCAGCCAGGGAGACGATTAAGTAACTGACTAAATAGATACAGCGATTACAGAATGTGGTGATGCCTACTAAAAAAAAATCCCCGTGATTGTCCCACAGAGGCCAATTGGGGAAAGTCTCTTAGGAGTGGCCAAGGAGGCCTCCCAGAGGAGTGGAGTCTGAGTGAGACCTGGATAGGACATGAGGCATCCATACCCGGAGTTGAGAGAAAAGTATTTTGAGCATAAGGTGTAATCAGTGCAAAGGCATGTAATGTACCAAGGAGAGGTTCTTAGAGCTGGAGGGATTGTAAACTTTCTTCTCATGCTTTCATGCATGAGACCAAGTCCTCAGAATCTGTTCTGCACTGGAGTTGGAATACAAGCAATAAATGATATAATTGTAAAAATATTTTTTTCAAAAAGATATTTCTTTTGCAAAAATTTTTAACCACATCCTGAAACTTTAAAAAAAGGCTCACGTTTTATAACACTCCCAAACCAAATCCACTGCCCGTCAAGTAGAATCAGACTTGGGTTTGAACCACCTTTCATTGGATTTCCAAGGCTGTAAATTTCAATGAGGAGACTGGCCATCTTTCTCCCACAGAGCAGTTGGCAGATTTGAGCTGTTAAGTCTTGTGGTTAGTGACCTGGAATGTGACATCTGCAGAATTCCTTGTATTTACACATAGATAGGGAAAATAGAATATTGAAAGAAGAGATCATCTAATTGTCAGATGTTACCTAACCCAAAACCCCTGCTTCTAACAAGAAAAATGAGGGGAAGAAAGGTGAACAGAATTGTCTCTGGCCACAAGACTGAATGGTGGCAGAACTGACCATAGAAATCCAACTTGAAATTGCATGTGCTTTTTCTACAGCAGGATGAAACTATCTTACTGTTTGTTTTGGAAAAAAATTATTAACTCGATTTTTCATCTTTTCATTTTCTCTCACTAAATTTTCAATCTTTCTTGAAACGTCCAACTCATTTATCCAAAGGGGCCACCAGCTTTGACTGAGGGTCCTCTGTTGGCCTAGTTTGAGGGGAAAGGCTGTGCATCTTTGGCAACTCAAATCCACCAGTGGTTCTGCAGAGGAAAGGTGGACAGTCTCCTCTCATGCGATTTACAGCCAAGCAAGGATGACGAAGCTGTGTCTCACGAACTTTGGACATATTGTTAGGAGGGTCCAGTACTTGGAAAAGAATATCCTGCTAAAAAGGTAGAGGATCAACATAAAAGACGAAGATCCTCAACAAATGTATTGACACGGTGACAGTAATAATGGTCTCAAAAATACAGGATAGGGTGGGCTTCTCATCAGTTATTCACAGGGTCGCTGTGAGTCATCCTCGATTCAATAGGCCCTAAACCCAACAATCTGCTGGAAGTTCAGAGGTGTTCTTTCCAGATCTAAATTGAGTTTTAGGTGGAAGCCATGGTTTGTAGCATCCTTTGGCCACTAGGGGGAACTGAAGACTCTTATTTGGTGTAGCCAGTCTTGGTTTTGATAATATAAACTTTCAGAAGCCTAAGAATCTTGTCTGGATCTAGGGATACTGTGTTTGAGACAGAGAGTAAAGGAAGAGCTTTGCTTGAATACTTGCTTCTCTTATTTTTTTCCCACGACTGGCCTATAGCAACTGAATGAAATAAGTTCCTCTCTTATTCAGCCTTAGAGGGCCAGGTATCTGCCACAACCAGACTTACAAGCTGACAGATGCCTGTACCTGCACCATAACCCAGCATTGTAAGCAGAGACAAATTGCTCAATAAGGAAGGTAAGCACACGCTTGCGGCATCAACAAACAGGGACAAAAGCAAAGACTTACAGATGCAAGCAGAGAACTGGCAGGGCACCAAATGCCACTGAGAGTGTCATGTGTGGAAACGAAATTCCCACAGGTGCGGGAGGAAGCATGTAAGGGTGTTTTAGCTATGAGGCCCCTGCCACTTCAAGGCCTTCACTGATACCTGTCTCCTGTGGTCCCCTCCTTTGTAACCGAAACTCCTTATCTCAGCAGGTCTCTTTTGAGAGTATGTTACTTAAAAATAAATAAATGAACAAGGGGTAGAGGTAGGCACCCAGTCCAGCTCTTGCTACATTGGGCAAAGACAAAGTCAATTAGTGGATAGCAAGTCTCTGATCCGTTTTGAGTGAAATATGCTGTATATTCACAGCTTTGGATGTAGCAGTTCCAGCCAGGAGCAACTGCAATGCTATATTTCCTGATGCAAATACAAAGATTATGCCATTGAGCATCCTGTGATAAACTGTGAATGAGAATGCCAGTCTCAGATGATTGCACATGAGGGCAGTGAATAAGTAAGTCATCTAGTATGATTAATTTAGACAAGTCGGGGTTTTTTAACTGTATATTACCTACATACAGAGTTATGTCCTAAGTTCTGTAAACAAGAATATTTCTAACTTTACCTTGAAAATAGGTTTGGCATATACACAGACACAATCTAACATACATTTAGTACAACACTAATATGGGTTATAGTATGTTATTAGCATAGAAATGAGGCCAGTTTAAAGACTAAGGTGCACCTGATTCAAGCGTGGTCTACTCACTTACTATGCATCTGAAAATTGGGCAATGAACAGCCATGACAGACGAATCAATGCCTGTGAGTGGTCTTGTCGTAGAAGAGTGCTAAATATCTTATGGACTACCAAAAGAACAAACAAATATGTCTTGGAGAAAGTGTAACTCGAGTGTTCCTTACAGGCAAGGATGGTGAAACTTCATCTCATATACTTTGGGCATGTTGTTAAGAGGGCCATTTCTTGGAAAGGGACATCATGCTTGAAAAGGCTGAGGGTCAATAAAAGAGAGGATGATCTTCAACAAGATGGATTGAGACAGTGTCTGCAGTAAGGGGCTCAGAATGTCCAAGATGACGAGGATGGCCCAGGCTAGGTCAGGGTTCAGATCCGTTCATATGGTAGCTATGAATCGTACTCGACTCGAAGGCACCTAACAACAGTATAGCAAATTTACAAAAATATTAGAAGTATTGCAGTATGCTTTCATTTTTCAGTGTGTCAGTCCAAACCTATCAAACAGACAGATTATAACAAACTCGCAATCATTAAAGAGTAGCGAGGTGGGCGGGTAAACCGGCTTGCACAGACAAATCTCACCATTGGAGAGGAAGAGCGGCTCCGCCCACCGCTCCCTAGCTCTGATTGGTGGCCCTCAGGAAGGGGCGTGCCGGACGCCGTGGCGAAGCCCGTAGCCTGTGCCTCCGGTGTTGATTGCTGAACTCGCCGCCATGGCTCAACCCTCTTGCTGGTTCTGCTGCTCCAGGCTCACCCCGCTGCTGGCGCTGTTGGCGTTGCTGACACGACCAGCTCTGGGCCGGGGCGGCCGGGATCACGGGGACTGGGACGCGGCTCCGCAGTCGCCGCTGCCACCCCACGAAGACGCAGCGCGTGTGGCCCGCTTCGTGGCGCACGTCTGCGACTGGGGCGCACTGGGCACCATCTCCACGGTGCCGGCGGTGCGCGGCCGGCCCTTTGCCAATGTCTTCTCGCTCAGCGACGGGCCGCCCGGCGCGGGCAAAGGCGTACCCTACTTCTACCTGAGCCCGATGCAGCTCTCCGTGGCTGACTTGCAGGTCAGTGGGGAGGGCGGTGGCTAGGGAGTGGGGCTCCAGGGAGGGGCTTTAAAAGAGCGAATCTTCCTGCTTTGGTCCAAATTCTTCCCTGGACGGAGAGTGTGGCTCATAGAGATAAAAATTTAAGGCAAGTTTACTTTCCTCCCTCTTATGCCCGGTGCTAATCGGGTTCTCAGCAGGCTTGCACTTTGTTCCTTCCAAATTGTTGTGCCACTTGGTGCCAGGAATTTCATACATCCTTGGGCGACGCGCTAGTACGATTTTTTTTGCCTACTTTGGAGGATTTTTCATCGCTCTCTCGTTGTGTTTTTATTAGGTGTGGTCGAATATGACTCATAGCTACCCTAACTATGAAAAACAGATCTGAACCCTGGCCTATCCTGTGTCATCCTCACAGTCTCTGACGCACTCGAGCCCATTGCTGCAGCCACTATGGCAATGCACCTGGTTTAGAGTCAGCCCTTGAAAGGTCTGCCTAATTTGAGGTATGACTTCTTGATTAGCTGGGCTGTTACTAAAAGGAAGCTCTGGTCAGGGTTGGCAGAGCGGACTTGCCAGATGAACACGGGGGCTCTGGCCCAGAGATGGCTAGCATTTGGGCGTGCCAGAAGGGCCAAATACTTGAAGGTGGGACCACGCCTAGTGTCTTGGGAAACTTAGTGTCAGCTGCACTCGGCCTCTGGCTTCTGAAGGAAAGGCAGGTATGGGAGGCTCTGGGCGCTTGTGGCTTTCTCTGTGCCCCAAGTGGGGGTCAGAAGAGCGCACTTGACAGATGAACTGGGAGTCTCTGGCCCAGAGATGGCCAGCATTTGGGCGCGCCGGAAGGGCCAAATACCTGAAGGTCGGTGTCTTGGGAGACTCATAGTGACCCTGTGAACGGAAGTCCTCGACACTTGCATGACTTTCGGCCAAATACTGAAGGGCCCTCGGGCCTGCAGCCTTTGTGCCTGTTTTTCATTGTTTTTGTTCAAAACAGCCCCGGTATGTCCACTTGCTGTAAAGAGGTAACTTGTGGTCACTGTGAAGCTAAAAACTGTGACTCTGATGCGATAGCGTAACCCAGGGTGGATAGTGTTTGGTGGTGCTCCCCGACTGAAACAAGCTTGGAAGCAGGAGTGGCATCCACTTCTGTAAATAGCTTGCCTCCAGAAAACATATGAATCTGGGAAAGGATGAAAGTCATGCACACAAGTGTCGAGGACTTTTGTTCACAGGGTCGCTATGAGTCGCCTATGATTCAACGGCACTGAACAACAACAACAACAACACTTGGTGGCTTAGTCCAACCCAAAGGTTGAGGACACCTCTCTGGTGCTTCAAATAATATACCAGCAGCTCCACAAGAGAAGGATGGGCAGTTTCCTCCTGTGGCATTTAAAACCTCAGAAAGCCTGCTGGAGAATCAGCCAGGAGTCGGTTCCAACTTGCCAAGTGGTGAAAGTTTCCCAAGGTTTATTGTAAACCAGGGATAGTTGGGTAGTTAAGCACTTAGGTATTTGTCTTCAGGTTTTCTCTTTCCTGCTTTTCCCTCCGGAAATGAAGAAATTTCCCCATCTGTACTAGAAGGTAATATCATAATCCATAACAAGAATCATCAGAATCATTAGGCCACCTTTTACACAGTGACTTCCTCAGTAGGGAGCCCAGCTTTGGGGGCTGGACAGGTTTACAGCTGTGAAGATGGTCAGATCTGGTGGTCCTCTCCCATCCCATAGGGCAGGGTAACTCATGGTTGCTGTGAAGCTGAACGCTATGACACTGATGTGTCAAATGCGATAATGGTTACCCATGGTGGACAGTGTTTGGTGGGGCTCCCCTAGTAAAACAAGCTTGGAAGCAGGAGTGGCATCCACTTCTGAAATAGCTTGCCTCCAGAAACTCTATGGACTTGGAGAAATGATGAAAGTTACACAATTGTTCAGGTCTTTTATTCATAGGGTCGCTATGAGTTGTCTACAACTCAATGGCACTTAAGAACAATACAACAAGAGCATTTGGAATCTAGGAAATGAAGCCAGGTTAGGTGGAAAGCCTTTTTGACCATGAGATTCCTTGGGAAAGTATAGCATTCTTGACAAAGAAACTAGAGTTTGTTTATCAAAACAAAACCCCACCTGTTAAGTTGATCCAGGTGCTTGACAATCTTCCATCAGGGAGCCAAGAGAAGGAGACTGCTGGTGTTTCTTGAGAACTCAAGTTTCTAGCCTTTTGGTAGCAGTCTGCCATGTAATGTACTGAAACCACCAGTATTCCTACTGTTTTCCAAGCAAGTTTTTACTTTCTGTTAAATTATCTCTTTGGTAACCCTTTGAGGTAGGTGTTGCTATCACTATTAAGCCAGTGGAGAACTTGAGCTTCTATAGATTAAGTAACCTGCCCAAGTGAGTGATCAAAAACTAGAGTTTCACCCATCTATCTCCCTTCAAAACACAGGTCACAGACTAGTCTGCGGGCAAAATGTGTCCCACAGACTAGTTTCCTTTGGTCCATACAGTAATCTGTTTGTTTTAGTACATTTTCACCAGGGGCTGGCATTAAACATGGACATTTCACCTAGAAATTCCGTATTTCTAACTTTCCTTGAAAGATTGGAAGATCTCATCACAGAAATGGATAAATACCTGCCCCTTCATTAAGTCTCAGGGAGTTCCTGGTGACCTAGTGAGCCAGCCCAGAGATGGCAGTTTGAATCCACCAGCAGCTCTTGGAGAAAGATGGACAGGCTCTTCCCATGTGATTTATAGTCCGAAAATTCATGGGATGGTCAGCTGTGAGCGAGTTCTGATTTGATGGCATTGAGTGAGCGAGTGAGTGATTTACTAGGGCTGATGAACTTCCTTTCACTATTTTCCCTCAATTCCTTTCCATTCCTTTAGGTACTTACTCAAAGCAAATTCATTCTATTATACCCAACACAAACTCCAGTTACTGCCTTATAGTCAATTCCAACTTGCAGTGACATTTTAAGACTGTCACACTGGCCTGTAGGGTTTTCAGGGCTCTGCCTCTTTAAGGAGGCAGACTGTTTCCTCTTTCTCACACAGAGCAGCTGGAGTGGTTGCTAGGTTTGAACAGCCAGCTTTTTGGCCTGCAGCCGATTGCTTTAATGACTGTGACACCTTCCCTCCTTCTGCATTACCAGTGGCTCCCCACAGTGGCTGCACATCAAGGTAACCTGGGAAGATGTAGAAACACCATGGGCAGGGAGGAAAGTGTGCAACAATGAATGAATGGAAATTTAAAAAAAAACACACACACAAAACTCACCATATCATGTCTGTGGAGACCCTGAAGAACTTCAGCAGGGCTGGTGGGACTCTTCGAGTGGTACAGCCACTGTGGAAAACATCCTCACAGATCCCCAAAATGTTTGACATGGGATCACCATGTTGTTGTTGTTAGCTATATTCAATCTACTCTTACTCATGACAGCTTAAATACTGCCCAGTCTTATCCCGTCTTGACATTAGTGATACTGGTTTTGCGTGCACTGGAATAACTGTTGTGTTGTAACTTCCAACTTTGGAGGCCCCTCTTGCAGCACTGTATCAGACATTATGTGATCCATAAGGTTTTCATGAACTAATTTTCAGAAATAGGTTGCCAGGCCTTCCGCCACCCCCCGCCTCTGGAAATGGCAGCTGAAACCTGACCACTATAGGCAACTCTGCAAGTATTTGAAATTCTAGCATTATGGCAACATGCAACTCCTGCACTTTATGATAGACTGGAAGGTTGGTGGAGGAGAATTACCCTGAAATGTCACTCCTAGGACACACCCAGAAGAACTGAAAACAGTGATTCAAACGTCTGTGTACACTGTACATTGATGTTCACGGTTCAGAGTAGCTGAAGGATAAAAACCCATCAGCACTTGAGTGGGTAAGCAAAATGTGGAATGTCCATATAGCAGGGGAATCCAGTTTGGAAGTCGTCTGCAGCAGCTGGATTCTACAGAAGCTTGCTTGCTGATTCTGGTGAGGAAAGTTCTACAGGTGTTCAGGTCTTTGATTCATAGGGTCGCTAAGCATCGTCTACAACTTGATGACACTTAAGAACAACAACAACAACAACAACAACGAGCTCTGTTGGCCTAGTGGATAGAAAGTTATGCTACTAAGCCAAAGGTGAGTGATTTTAATCTGCAGCCCTCAGGCCTGGTTTTAATTGTTTTTGGTCAAACATTCTTCTAAGTGGTATAGCACAGGTCTGTCCATTTGCTGTAGAGAGGTAACTCGTGGTTGTTGTGATGCTAAACACTGTGACACTGATGTATCAGATGAGATAATGGTTACCCATGGTGGACAATGTTTGGTGGTGGTGGTTGTTATGTGCCGTCATCGCTTGTGACTCATAGCGACCCTATGTGCAACAGCCCTAAACTCTGCTCTGTCCTGTGCCAATCTCATTGTCTCCGACACACTCATCCTGATTACCCCAGTCACCGAATCAATCCATCTCTTAGAGGACCTTCCCCTCCTGCGCCTGCCCTCCACCCTCCCAAGCATGTCCTTCTCCAAGGACCTGTCTCTCCTTACAACATGTCCAAAGTATGTTAGACGGAGCCTCAGAATCCTTGCCTCCAAGGAGTAGCCTGGTTTAACCCTCT